CTAAAAGCTACCTTAGAAAAATCTGTTTTATTTGTCAAGCAATTATTAAGTTAGAGAAATTTGTACCTGGAGCAGCCTAAGCCTCTGTTCATTGTTTACAGAGTCGACGGCTTTCCAAAACCATTGGATAACGGGGTGTTTGTCGTGGTAACCTGGAAAGGAATTATACAAATAAGTTACGAAGCTCAAAATAGAACAGGGACACGGTGTGACATTACGGAAGCTTCAGAAAATGTTAGTAAAAAAGAAAGTGCCTAGAATGAAAAACAGGCTTAGGCGTGATCAAATGGGATGTGATCATTACCAGAGCGATAATCTGTGTTCGTTCTCCAGTCTTTAACATCAATATCAGCCGTGCCTGCAATAACCAGCTCAAGTTCACGTGCATCAAAAATTGAGATCATGTGCAGGTCAAGAACCTGGAAAACAGAAATAAATAAAACACGTTACTTGTAGGTGAAAACTTCGCACTGTATAGAAAATAATCAATTAGAACCAGACAGATTTCAGTTGGCAGAAATAAGTAAGTTACAAGGAACATGAAAGAAAAAAATTACCTCACTTGATCTTTTAAAGTGAAAATCAAATGGTTTCCCTTCTTAAAACCCTCTGGTACTCTAGATCTGGAAATTTTCGATAGCTGTTTGTTGACAACCTTATTGTAACTTTTGCAAATACATAGCAAACTTCTTTAAGGTTCGAAAAAGCTAATCACACAGCTTGTGCCACAATAAAAACAAGACCAGATATTTAAAAATATGAAATGTCACAATTACATATTGATTCAACAAAAATTCTGCATTTCAATTACCTCATTAAAGCCGTCGACGAGCTGTTTCATCTGCTCTCCAACACCTCGCTCCATTCTCCATTTAATCATCAAATCGACATATTCCTTTTTGTTTTCATCCGTGACTGGGATGGATTTACCACCCGGCTTTAATTCTCTCTCTGTTACCTAGATTTCATCAAGGAAATGAACAATGAAGTCAAGAAAAATACATTGCTTAATTATATGAAGAATCATACCTCAAATAGCTAGAGATCACAGCTTCAAAAAATTAAAACATTGAAAAGAGAAAGAGGCGAAGAAAAAAGAGAAATAAAATTAAAAAGACGGATAGTAGATAGAAAATAGAAACGATGAAATAAGAGAAAGAAAATTAAGAGGACGGATACACCGTATTACCCTGCCGCAAGCCCAACCTTCCAAGGGCTTACTTACTTACAACTTGGAAGCAGAAGTCACAATAAAATTTTTGTGATCTGCCTTCCCTTCTTACCAAGTATAGATTATTCCCACCTGTCACGTGACTTACTTGTTGCCGCCATGATGGATCACAACCTACTGTTGGATACACGTAGCAACGCGCTATTTATGCCATACGGATTTTTAAACGGATAGTTACCTTCGGCGATTTTGAAACAGTTTATATGTCATGTGACAGGTGGAAATAATCTATAGACACATGGCAGCTCTTCCCCAGCTCTTCCCCTCCACCCTAAATTCGATAGTTGCACGGCACTTACCTCGTATTTTAAAGAGTAAATTTTAATGGGTGTTTACAAGTCCATTGGTTATAATTACATAGGAAAAAATCTTTTGGTGGTACAAAGCTTGAAAATGGCTTGAAAAAAGCAAACATTTAGTAAACTAAAGCTTTTCGTCTGACACTCTTCAGAGTTTAAAACGCCAGAACATAGACCGAAAACTCTACGCTAGGAAATATATATACCCAGTTTTGGATCGAAATAGGCCAATCAAAAACACGAACACATGACTGTTGAGGTTGACCAATCAGTGCCGCTTGCCTATTAAGAATGTTACCAATGGAGTCTTAAGGTGAAAACGAACTCCTTTTGTCTAAACAGTAGCGGTTTTTTCGTGCTTATGTAGATAGATAGGAATTACATAGGAAGTTTGACCATTTCAAAAATATTGATATTGCTCACAACTCACTTTAATATACAGTGGATATGCCTAACCGGCTGTGACTGTGATTACGTTTGTATTCGCGAAAGGGAAAACCATGCATTGACAGGTCTCATGCATTGACATCGTTTCTAACGACTGCCGTCATATGCCTCTTGAAACTGTTAATAGGGGATCAGTTGGGCGACAAGATGAAATGTATTAAAGCCTGGTTTTGCTAAAACTATATGACTAAAGTTTAAATTCCTGTTATAAGATATAAAAAAATGGGATCTAAAATCGCTTAATGGAATCTAAGAATCTAGAGAGAACTGAAACAGCTAAAGACAAGAATGCTTTTCCCACCTGGTCAAAAACAATTTCATCGGTTGTGAAGTACATATCTAACACATCAGTGATGTCATTTTCGAGTATCCAAGACAAACTCTGATGGAATTCCGGATCGAAGGATTCGATGTCACTAAGGTCGTAGGATCTGAAACAAATATCCATTATTAAGACATGTCAGCTGTGGACAACAGCAAACAGCATCAACTTTATAGCAAACTTAGTTTGGATAATAATGCTTTAGGCTGAATAAAAATGACTGTTGTGTTGATATGACACCCATCAAAACAAAAAAGCTTACGATCAATGACTTTTATCAACTGGGAAGTGAATTATTATCAAGAATATTAGGCTGAAAGGAGATATTAAACCGACTTACTGTCGAAGAAGGGCTTTGTATATCGATCGTGTGAAAAACACATCGAGCAAATGCTGATGAACAAGCGACAAGGCGATTATGCGACCGCAAAAACGGAGCCTGGAAAAGCAAAAAAACTTTCGTCAGATGATCAGTGCTCGATCAGACTGCAGTAATTTTTAACGTACAAAATTTGAAAGCGAGATGCAAATCGCGAAATACCGTGCATTGAATTGGAACAAATTTTGTTTCTTTTGATACAAAAGGGAAATTTTTCCTGGAATCTGACAAAACTTCAGCTATGGTCCTAGTTATGAAGCAACGTAATTGAACGAGTAATAAAACCAACAACTAGCAATGTAACTTTTTGAATGGAAAATAAAGTAAAAGCTCCACTAATATAATCACTAAAAGTTCAAAGGCAAACGATTGCAAACAAAAATGGACGGATGGAAATGCACCAAACCTACCACAAATGAGAATTTGTGACGAAGCGGGCTGCCACTGGACTTATTTGTAGAGTGTAAGTGTCACTTGCAGAAGGACCGTTTGTACATTAAATTCCTTGGGGAGGAAGGCCTGGATTATGGTGGACCCGCACGAGAGTTTTTCTTCTTAATCTCGAGACAGTGCTTCGACCCCTACTATGGATTGTTCGAATATTCTGCAAGTGACACTTACACTCTACAAATAAGTCCAGTGGCAGCCCGCTTCGTCACAAATTCTCATTTGTGGTAGGTTTGGTGCATTTCCATCCGTCCATTTTTGTTTGCAATCGTTTGCCTTTGAACTTTTAGTGATTATATTGGTGGAGGTTTTACTTTATTTTTCATTCAAAAAGTTACATTGCTAGTTGTTGGTTTTATTACTCGTTCAATTACGTTGCTTCATAACTAGGACCATAGCTGAAGTTTTGTCAGATTCCAGGAAAAATTTCCCGTTTGTATCAAAAGAAAAAAATTTGTTCCAATTCAATGCACAGTATTTCGCGATTTGCATCTCGCTTTCAAATTTTGTACGTTAAAAATTACTGCAGTCTGATCGAGCACTGATCATCTGACGAAAGTTTTTTTGCTTTTCCAGGCTCCGTTTTTGCGGTCGCATAATCGCCTTGTCGCTTGTTCATCAGCATTTGCTAGATGTGTTTTTCACACGATCGATATACAAAGCCCTTCTTCGACAGTAAGTCAGTTTAATATCTCCTTTCAGCCTTATATTCTTGATAAAAATTCACTTCCCAGTTGATAAAAGTCATTGATCGTAAGCTTTTTTGTTTTGATGGGTGTCATATCAACACAACAGTCATTTTTATTCAGCCTAAAGCATTATTACCCAAACTAAGTTTGCTATAAAGTTGATGCTGTTTGCTGTTGTCCACAGCTGACATGTCTTAATAATGGATATTTGTTTCAGATCCTACGACCTTAGTGACATCGAATCCTTCGATCCGGAATTCCATCAGAGTTTGTCTTGGATACTCGAAAATGACATCACTGATGTGTTAGATATGTACTTCACAACCGATGAAATTGTTTTTGACCAGGTGGGAAAAGCATTCTTGTCTTTAGCTGTTTCAGTTCTCTCTAGATTCTTAGATTCCATTAAGCGATTTTAGATCCCATTATTTTATATCTTATAACAGGAATTTAAAAATTTACAATCTTTTTATCGTTTTTCTTTGTGTATCATCGCCTTTCTAGATCAGTCATAACTTTAGTCATATAGTTTTAGCAAAACCAGGCTTTAATACATTTAATCTTGTCGCCCAACTGATCCCCTATTAACAGTTTCAAGAGGCATATGACGGCAGTCGTTAGAAACGATTTCAATGCATGAGACCTGTCAATGCATGGTTTTCCCTTTCGCGAATACAAACGTAATCACAGTCACAACCGGTTAGGCATATCCACTGTATATTAAAGTGAGTTGTAAGCAATATCAATATTTTTGAAATAGTCAAACTTCCTATGTAATTCCTATCTATCTACATAAGCACGAAAAAACCGCTACTGTTTAGACAAAAGGAGTTCGTTTTCACGTTAAGACTCCATTGGTAACATTCTTAATAGGCAAGCGGCACTGATTGGTCAACCTCAACAGTCACGTGTTCGTGTTTTTGATTGGCCTATTTCGATCCAAAACTGGGTATATATCTTTCCTAGCGTAGAGTTTTCGGTCTATGTTCTGGTGTTTTAAACTCTGAAGAGTGTCAGACGAAAAGCTTTAGTTTACTAAATGTTTGCTTTTTTCAAGCCATTTTCAAGCTTTGTACCACCAAAAGATTTTTTCCTCTGTAATTATAACCAATGGACTTGTAAACACCCATTAAAATTTACTCTTTAAAATATGAGGTAAGTGCCGTGCAACTACCGGATTTAGGGTGGAGGGGAAGAGCTGGGGAAGAGCTGCCATGTGTCTATAGATTATTTCCACCTGTCACATGACATATAAACTGTTTCGAAATCACCGAAGGTAACTATCCGTTTAAAAATCCGTATGACATAAATAGCGCGTTGCTACGTGTATCCAACAGTAGGTTGTGATCCATCATGGCGGCAACAAGTAAGTCACGTGACAGGTGGGAATAATCTATACTTGGTAAGAAGGGAAGGCAGATCACAAAAATTTTATTGTGACTTCTGCTTGTTACCAAGTTGTAAGTAAGTAAGCCCTTGGAAGGTTGGGCTTGCGGCAGGGTAATACGGTGTATCCGTCCTCTTAATTTTTTTTCTCTTATTTCATCGTTTCTATTTTCTATCTACTATCCGTGTTTTTAATTTTGTTTCTCTTTTTTCTTCGCCTCTTTCTCTTTTCAATGTTTTAATATTTTGAAGCTGTGATCTCTAGCTATTTGAGGTATTATTCTTCATATAATTAAGCAATGTATTTTTCTTGACTTCATTGTTCATTTCCTTGATGAAATCTAGGTAACAGAGAGAGAATTAAAGCCGGGTGGTAAATCCATCCCAGTCACGGATGAAAACAAAAAGGAATATGTCGATTTAATGATTAAATGGAGAATGGAGCGAGGTGTTGGAGAGCAGATGAAACAGCTCGTCGACGGCTTTAATGAGGTAATTGAAATGCAGAATTTTTGTTGAATCAATATGTAATTGTGACATTTCATATTTTTAAATATCTGGTCTTGTTTTTATTGTGGCACAAGCTGTGTGATTAGCTTTTTCGAACCTTAAAGAAGTTTGCTATGTATTTGCAAAAGTTACAACAAGGTTGTCAACAAACAGCTATCGAAAATTTCCAGATCTAGAGTACCAGAGGGTTTTAAGAAGGGAAACCATTTGATTTTCACTTTAAAGATCAAGTGAGGTAATTTTTTTCTTTCATGTTCCTTGTAACTTACTTATTTCTGCCAACTGAAATCTGTCAGGTTTTAATTGATTATTTTCTATACAGTGCGAAGTTTTCACCTACAGGTAACGTGTTTTATTTATTTCTGTTTTCCAGGTTCTTGACCTGCACATGATCTCAATTTTTGATGCACGTGAACTTGAGCTGGTTATTGCAGGCACGGCTGATATTGATGTTAAAGACTGGAGAACGAACACAGATTATCGCTCTGGTAATGATCACATCCCATTTGATCACGCCTAAGCCTGTTTTTCATTCTAGGCACTTTCTTTTTTACTAACATTTTCTGAAGCTTCCGTAATGTCACACCGTGTCCCTGTTCTATTTTGAGCTTCGTAACTTATTTGTATAATTCCTTTCCAGGTTACCACGACAAACACCCCGTTATCCAATGGTTTTGGAAAGCCGTCGACTCTGTAAACAATGAACAGAGGCTTAGGCTGCTCCAGGTACAAATTTCTCTAACTTAATAATTGCTTGACAAATAAAACAGATTTTTCTAAGGTAGCTTTTAGTGTGTTTTTAGTGTTGTCGGCTAGTTCTCCTTCAACAAATTTGGCACATAGTGTTGGAGGGATTAACAGAAAACCCTTAAGTATAGAAGTCGATACCGTATGTAGGTCAGAGGAAAATTATCCAATAATTATTTTGAACTGTACCGAAATAGGAAACCATCATCTGCTTTTGGTCAACCTACCGTTTGGTCTAACTAAGCTAACGTTCCTCGTGAATAACCTTGTTAAACAAAAAGTATATCTGGCGAATGACTTAGGGGTTGAAGAATGAATTGTAACCATGCAGTTACGAAGTGTCAGGAAACTACATAGTTGGTGAAGTGGGCGGGAATTGAGTCATGTGTTTCTGGCTAACTTCTTTTCGTCATCATGACAAAATCAAGTGTACTGGACCTGTCTATTCTCTGCTAACTTCAAATTGACCCTGAGGCAAGCTTTTTACAGCTGTAGGTTAATTATAATGGTAAAATTTACGTCAAATACTCCAAATAACTGTCTAACATATTTGACAGGATTCGTTGTTCACGCAATCCAATTGCGGTCTTAAGTTAGTGCCTATTTATGATTCTTCTATTTCAAAAGGCCTTGTTCTTCCTGTCTTTTTTTTAACTTCATAAGAGGAAGAGACTGAAATAGCAATTAATGATTTAGAAGGTCTAGTGCAAAGTAGGCCGAGAGAACAGAGGATACTTTCAGAATTGGTGACGTCAAGGATATCAAACCTCCAAACCGCAACTTCTACTATATATATCTGTTTAGTTAATTGTGGTTTTAGCGTTTTCTTTAGGGCTCGGTTTTAAGTTTAGAACTTGCACTGTAGCCTGTAGCATAAACTTGCACTAAATTACATTACAGTTCCAAATAATATTAAAATTTGACGTTAAAATTTTTTTTTCATTCTTGTTTTTAACTAAATTTAAATTAAATTTTCTCTAATCTTTGTTTGTAATAGGTTTCGAGTGTTTATCCTGTCATGCAAATTTCAGTTTTGAACATGGTCCACTGTAGATAAGATTTTATTTTGTATTACTATTTATTTTTATCTTGAATGCCGTAGTAGAGTTGAAGTAATATGATACCAAAGTGCTATCTCGCATCCATGTTTCCTTCAAAACTGTATTTGTAGTGTTTTGTGATTAAGTATCTGCAAAAAATTATTGACTTCATTTCTCTAGTTTGTCACTGGAACATCGAGCATTCCCTTTGAAGGCTTCTCCGCACTGCGTGGTAGCACTGGTCCAAGAAAGTTCACTGTTGATTGCTGGG